CTATTTCTAACTGTAGTTAGAAATTCTAAAGGTGAAGCTTAATATAATCTTTTCTATTCTTTCTCATCTCCTAAAAGCAAAGCTTTTTTGCTCATTTTTTATTACTATGTGCCACTTTTTTCTCACCAGAATCATCTTTCCCCGCTTCATTGAGAAACAAAAAACTGCTGTTCTTCCTTTAAACACTGAAGGCTTCTATGCCATCAGAAGAGCTGACAGACAGTGTAGGGGACAGAGGGACCCCAGAGCCCAGTGCACCCAGCCACAGTCAGCACTTGCACAAAAGACAGCTGCAAACCTTCAGCAGTGACCTCATAATATTTTATTAGAAAGGAAAATCCTCAGACAATTCCACTAACAAAGGAGTAGTTCCTGTTCTCTGTTGATGATCCGGAAGAAAAATAAAAGGAAAACTAAAGGACCTGCCTAAGGTATAACCTGTTCTCTGTAAGTCTTTCTGTTCTGCTGTTACTTTCATTAAATGCAACAGGAAGATTTTCTCCACCTTCCAGCACCTCACTGCTTTGCTCTCAGTTGGGAAAGCAGAGTGTGCTTTGTGCCAGTAAGAGTGAGAAAGTAAGAGCTTGTTCAACCAACCCAGTCCTCAGACAGTGGGAAACACCTACATTTGGAAACCTCCCAAAGTCTCAGAGATTTGTGAGAGGCGCAGAGGAAATCAGAGAGCTGCAATGCAGGTCAGTGCCGTGCAAGGAAGGATGCATGTAAAGCTTTGGCAATGCTTCCAAAGGGACGCCCACTGCAATTGGATGCTCCTTGCCCAGCCTCTGACAGCTACATCAGTGATCTGTCACCTAGAGTGAATTCAGCAACTAACCTGTAACCAAAAGGAGACAGACCAGCCAGTGATTTATACTGCAGGAAGGTGATGCAACTTAACTTTCCCTGGCCAACAAGAGGAGATTAAGAGGGTAAATCACGCTCTTCAAACCAGCACATGCCCAGACTTCATTGTGTACAAAAAGGACATAAAGCAACAAGTGTCTGGATGATGTGCCATGAGTCACCTGGTTCAGTTTGCAGTAGTCCTGTGAGGAGCAGGGAGTGGGACATGATGATCACTATGGCTTCCTCCCAGCTCAAGATGTTCTGACTCCATAAAGCACAGCACTGCCCCAGGCAGGAGGAGATGGTTTCATGGGAAAAGGCCAACAAAAAAGTTATAAAGGCAAGAAGAAGGGATGGCTTCTCTAACATCACTAATCCTGTAATACTGACTGTTGAGGGGTAGAAGGCAAAGGCTGCAAAATATGGCCAAGAGTTAAGGCAAAAGTGGCTGACCTGAGACACTCCTCTGACCCAGCAAGGAATATCATACCTTTTTCATATTCATGTACACATCCATAAAGTTACTGTTCCATTTTACTGTGTGTGAACCAAGATGCTGCCTTCCTCTGGTTGGATAATTCACTGTTATTTACAAATATTTACAAATTTTCCTACAGTATTGGTCATATTCCAAAATTATTATTACATCCCTCATTCCAGACCTATATGCTGTAGGACCAGGGTGGGAGTGGATCTGGATTTGTGCACATACTTTTTGTGAAAATCTGTAAATTTCAGAGTGTATACTCTGCTGTTGTGAGCACTGCAGAATCTTCTGAAGCTGGCTATAGGGCAGCTATCCCCATCTTCAGCAGCACTGTGAGAACCTGTCGATGCAAAAGATCTGACGATTTTGCCAACAAGTCAAGAGGAAGAGGAGCAGGGTGTTTTATATATCCTGTCAAATAGATCAAAAATTCTTTGGGAACAGAGCTATCCCTATTGATTTTGTGCCAGTTAGGCACTAAACTGTAGTTTGTGTATTGATTCACTGCTGCCTTGGGGCAAAGACAGGCCAGGATTATCTGGCTGTTCCTTTAAGGGTGCTGAAGGCAAGCCAGCTGGGGGCCATTCCAAAGGAGGTGTCAGAGCAAGCTGTAATACCAGAAGAACAGGAAAAGCACAAAACCCAAACAGAGTCCAGTAGTTGCAATACACACAGGATAACCAGAAGACTGGGAATACTAAAAGGAGACTTTTCTCCTGGAAGTAAGGAAGGAAGAGCTCCAGCACAGAAGGTATGATTATATATAAACTTTAGAAATATTAAATCCTGCAATAACGAGGGAAAGTGGGAGGAAAGAAGAGAGCAGTCCAATGGGGAACTGGAGGGCTGTGTTAGGCTCTGTGTAGAAGAGCTGACAGCTCTGGCACCAAGAATTGCTGAAGGAAAAAAGAAACAGAGGATTGTTTTATTGCAGAACAGCAGCAAGGCATCCTAAAATCTCTTAAGTGAACAAAACCCTAAATTTGTAAAAGACAAATTGATCACATGGGATGACTGAATCAGGAACAAATTGGATCCTTCCCCCTCAAGCATTAAGGCTTGGTTGGCTAGCTCTGGTTGCTAGAGGTTTGTGGTTATGAATGCAGAAAGGAGGGCTTGTACAGCAGCTGCAGGGGGCTCACTGCTGGCCAAGGGCTGGGGAGTGAGTGGAACACAGACCCAAGGGCAGGTGAGGTGACACCATCTCCCACTCCCCAGGGGCAGAGTGGGCTGCCCCTAAGAGCCCTCAGCCCACTGCCCTTCCCAGCTCAGCACCAGTGACAGTATATTTTTTCTGCACAGCTCCTTATATCAAATGAGAAATTTCTCACTTCACCTACCAGCCTAACACTGGCACCTCAAAGAGTAAAAGTGCAGATTAGAGGTACAGGTCTAACCCAGAACTCTCAACAATGCATGTGCTGGCACTGTAGGGATTCAGTGACCAGGACACACCTGAATTTCTTCCGTGTATAGCTGAAACCATGAATTCCTGCACAGGATGGCAAAGCCCTGCCACCCATGGGCAGCATGTGAGGAGCAGCCCAAGCGCCCTGCGAGCCCTGCGGAGGCAGCAGCTTCCCCCACTCACCTCCCAAGGTGTGGAACATTTTGACAGGCTACATGAGACTTGCTGCCCTTGTGTCACACAGCCTGCTGGAGGGTGAGCAAACGGAAAGACCTGAAACAGACCACAGCAGAAAATCCAGGCTGGGAAAGGAAAAATATGCTCTGGCTACGTCCCAAAGCTGACTTGTACAAATGTTTCTCATTACAGTGCTAGAGATGCTCTCCACCCCGCTCTTCTCGATGCCTTTCTGGGACTCACACGAAGCATTCCCATGGCACTGGGGTGCAGTATGGCTTTAATGATTACCCCGTGAGAGGAGAGCCAGGGGATGTTATGGTGACTCAGTGAGCAAGATCCCAGGCAGGGCCCAAACCTGTCCTGCCAAAGCCACGTTTGCAGCAGACTGGTGTTACAACAGCTGGGGAGGAAGGAAGGGCAGAAATGCTCCCGTCCTGGAGCACTCAGTATCTCACAGTCCTCCCGAGCTCGTTTTGCCTTGCTGGGGTCACCTTGCCATCTAGTGGCTCACACTGCAGAGCTGACACAGAGCTGGGTTCGTTTCTGCTGCAAATCCTGTAATGCCCATGCTTTTGGGAAGGAAACAATTCAAATTCCCTTTGATTTGCACCCATTTCTTAGCGTGTCAGGCTGTCAGTAAAATGTGCTGTCATAGCATGAAGTTAGAAAAGAAGATGCATAAAGCCCACTGGCTTATACATATCACATACTATAAAAAAGGATCCTCTGCCCATACAACCTGGAGGGATGTACCCATCAGGACATGACTGGTTTAGGCCGAATAGACCTTCCTTCAGCTTTTACAAAAAAGTTTGTGAAAAAAACACTACTTCATTTTGAAGAATTTTATAAGATTCACTTTTTTTGCCTAAAAAAAGAAAGAGTTATCAGGAGGGAAGTAGAAAAGCAGAAGAAAAGTCAAAAGCAGAGTGATAGAAATCCCATCTGCTAATATGCAAACTCCAAAAGGCTCCAAGAAGATAAACTGCACACATTAAGATTCTTCACATTGCCTATACTAACATGAATATGGATTGGTAAGTATGAACTTACCATCTATTTCCTTTGCATGTCCCCATTACACCCATTTTGACTTCTGTTTGGGCTCTGTCCAGCAGAGTTGCAAATTTTAATTTATTCCATCACCTCACCTAGTGACAAGAACAAAAGTATCTGCTTCATTTCATTTTAGCATGGACTGTTAACCTTCTGTGACCACTTTTGTAAATGGAAAATATGATGTCTGTATCCAAAATGGACTTCTCATGCAGATAATTCCAAATGAGAGTCTGGCTTGACATCCTTTCTGTATTTATTAGCAGCTCCCATCTGCTAGGCTCCAGAGTTATCCTTGTCATTCAACAAGGTGCTTGGCTGTGATCAGTCAGTGTCAAGAGAAATCTCAGTGCTCAGCTGTCTTCAACCACTTCTATCTAGAAAGGCTTCTCCTGTGTTTATCTTGGTCAGTGCAGATGGAATGACAGGGTAGTTTGTCTCCCAGTTAAGGATCTTCCAATTCATTTATTATGCACTTTCTACAAAGAGTGCAGCAGACAAATGTAAGGAATAGCTGTTTGCTTTAACATTATAAATAAAAATGATTTTGAACTGTCAGCCTCTAAAGAGCACTCCTTGGCATGACAGACCACAAAGTAAAAATAAATTACAAGATCTCTTTGTACTTGCATGGGCAGTACTATTATTATTCTAACAAACTTTCTTCTCAGCTTTGCTGTAGAGGCCATGGGCTGCTGGAAGCAAGAGAAAACTAACACATGGGCTTTTCCCACCCTGATCCTCTGCCTCTATGGATTCTTCTACATGATGAAACCATCAGAACCTTTCTTAACACCCTATCTAACAGGACCAGATAAAAACCTGACCACAGATGAGGTATGATTTTATTCTATGATTTCTTTTAACTGAAGTAGTGAAAAGAAAGAAAAGAAAGGGAAAACACTGAAGTTTTTTAAAAATGTTAAAATTAAAAAAAAAAAACAACCCAAAAACCCACGCAACTTTAAACAGCACTGGCAGGTTACAGTTTTCAGCAGACTGCATAAACAGAAGATCCATTTAATGGATCCAAGATCCATCTGCCTGCCCAACAGTCCCATGCTGATTCAATGTGATTATATATTTTATGAATTCCTTCAGTGTTCCTGCTCACAGACTACGTGCGCTACAAGCCCGTGCTCCTCCTGCAGGGCATCAGCCTCATCCTCACGTGGCTCCTGCTGCTCTTTGCACATGGAGTGGTGGCCATGCAGCTGGTGGAATTCTTCTATGGCATGGTCACAGCCACCGAGGTGGCCTATTACGCCTACATCTACAGCGTGGTCAGCAGCCAGCACTACCAGAGGGTCACCAGCTACTGCAGGAGCGTCACTCTGGTGGCAGCCACCGTGGCCGCCGTGCTGGGACAGCTGCTGGTGTCCTTGGCGCACGTCTCCTACTTCTACCTCAACGCCATCACCTTGGCTTCCGTGTCCCTGGCGCTCGTGTGCGCCTTCTTCCTGCCCATGCCCCAGAGGAGCATGTTCTTCCACAGGAAAGATGCCCCTGAGCCTCTGCCAGGGCCCGATAAAGGGCCGGCTGCGGGCGCTGCCCACGGGCCCTGGAGCTGCCCAGAGGAAAGGAGCCCCAGTGCTGCTGCCAGGGGCCCGAGCCCCCAGCCCCAGGCTGGGAACAGCAGGCCCCACAGGCACACGCTCAGCGTGCTGCTGCAGCTGGGCAGGGACCTGAGGGATTGCTACGGCTCCCGCCCGCTCCTCTACTGGTCCTTGTGGTGGGCTCTGGCCACGGCCGGCTTTAACCAGGTCGTGAATTATGTCCAGGTGCTGTGGGACTTGCGAGCCCCCTCCCACAGCTCCCCAGTCTACAACGGAGCTGTCGAAGCAATAGCAACTTTTCTGAGTAAGTCAGTGTTTAAACATTGTTCACAATGACAGTCTCTGAAGTTTCACATTAGTAAACTTTCAAAGTGCCATTCCATTGCAGGCACTCCAGGGAGCCACCGCACCCCCTGTGCATTCCAGACCTGCATCTTTGATGTACAACAGCTCAAATGCGAGTTATGTTGGTTTTTCTTTAGTACCAGACAAATAACTATCTTACCATGATGTAGAAAATGTGCAGATCACACTGACATTGCATTTAGCTGGTAAATCCATTTGAAGCACCCCTGTTTCTTTGGATGAGGCTATTGGGTGTTTTTTTTCCCCCCAAAACAAGTATTGCACTGTTCCCCTAACAACGCTATCAGCTTACACAGATGAGAGAAATTTCCCTAAAAAATTTTACACAAAAAGAACATAATCCTCTCATTTAGATTTTTTTTCTAGTGAAATACCCTTGTGCACCAGACAAAAAGAAAAAAATTAGTCATTTCAAGATACAAAGATTTTCAGGGAAAAAAAAAAGACCCTATGAATGCTTACGATACTGATGTTAACTGGTACACTTTCACCAGGAGCAGATGTTCACATCACACAAGCAAAATGAGGTTATCAAAACCAACGTCAGAGTATGATACCACCCTACCTTCATTTGCATTGTGCTGCTGTAAAGAACTTGCACAAGCTGTGGGGTGTGTTTTACCAGTACCACACCTCACCATTCAAGAAACCCTTACAGTCATTAAGGAGAAACAGATACTACTCTTGCAGTAGGCAACTAATTAGAGCAAGTGAATAATGAACTAGTATCCTCCTGTAGTATCTACTCCTTGATCTACTCTATCTCTCATGGACTTGCCTATTTCTCAGTGTAGAAGTGTAGAAATTTTTTAATTGTCTGGTACCCCTAAGATGGGCAGTAGGGTGGCTTAATTTTGCAACAAATACATCTTCTAGGAGGCCTACAAAAAGCAAACCTATCCTTTCTTATTCCTTGGATATACTTCCTTGATGCCTCAAAACTCACATTTTTGACAGTTTACCCCCTCTGTGAGGTGCACAGAGCTAAACTGTTACAATAGAAGGTTTACTGGCCTAGCTGTGCAGTGAGCTAGGAGACAGTGGAAGAATTTCCCTCTTGAACTCCAAACCATGCTCCTAATTCTCTCCCCAGAGTTTCATGCTGTGTACAGACACCTAAATAATGAATCCTTCTACATTACTGTTTATCCTGTGAAGTGGAATAAAACACTAAGAACAGAATGTCAGAGACTTGATATATACAGTTGTCTTAAAATGACTAGTCAAATAAAGTAAAATGACTAGGCTGCAGAAGTCATCAGAAATGCTTTCAAACTTCAGACTTCATTATTCATCATTGCCTTTCAGCATGTGAGGGTGTTAAGGCTTGGTCATACAGGCTGTGGAACAGATACAATATTTACACGTATTTTTTCTCTTTTTCTAGGCTCAGTAACATCTTTCCTAGTACAATATATAAAGATTAACTGGGACCATTTTGGAGAACTGGCTTTAGGGATCTTCTCTGTAATAGATGCCGGTTGTCTGTTTCTCATGCACTTCTCTACCAACATCTGGGCATGTTATGCTGGATACCTCATTTTCAAGGCATGCTACGTGCTCCTCCTGACAATAGCAACGTAAGTACACAACATCACAATGCTGCCATCATGCACAAAATACTGACCCTACTTTGAGTTTGCTTTGGGCATCCTTTTCCTCAGAGGTAGCTGACCTAATGCTAGACATAACTGTTTAGGTGAGGACAAGGACACCTAAATGTCTGGTTATGTTGTTTTCATTCTTCCAAACAACCAGGAAAGAAAAACTGTCAAGAGGACATCAAACATTTACCTAAGCAGACATTGAACAAGGCACAAGGTAACTTTATTGCTAAAGGCAATATAACAGCAAAATGTAGAAGCCATTTTCCTCCTTCCATGCATGAAGGATGCAAAGTGAACAATAGGGACAAGCATACCTTGACAGCCATTCTTTAGGAGCACCATATGCCCAGACCCCCTACTGGTGAACCTTTTAGTGTGCCAGGAACTGCATGAATGCAGGAAAAGATTCCACACAAAGTGTTTCCCAACATAATCTTATATATATAATCATTAATGATATTAAGCTTAAAGAAGGAATAAAAGGGAACATCAGACATATAAACTCAGATGAGGTCTCAATAGAAGACCAAGCTATTCTGTTTTCAGAAATAGAAATGTATAAATAATATTAATAACAAATATTTTATCCTGTGTAATAAATATAAAATGTTATTGCTCCAGTCATTTTCTTGCTTGGAATGTCTTTAGACATACCACACTATTTCATTAACAAAAACACTGAATGCATCTTGTGTCCAACTCCAAAATTAATCAGATACCATTTTGAAAAATTACTAACATTATAATGCATGGCAAGATTATGCCAAGAGACCTCTTAATTGTCATTTTGGTAGATTGTTACTACATCATAGTAAATTACACCTGGACTACTTCAATATATTCTAAAAAAAACCCAACAAAGTAAAATCCTGCAGAAAACTTCTAAGCTAAAATAATTGAAAATGAGTCCTGAAGGAATAACACCCTTTTGTTTGTATAGAAACTTTGCAGGTATATATTGCAAGGAAAGATGTTGTGATTATTGTCAAAAAAGATATTGCAAGTAAAAATCTACAGGCTCTTGACAGAAATAAGCAGCATGTTACCTCCAGTGTCAAATCACAAAGCAAAAGTCATCATTACAGAAAGTTTGGTTAGAAGATACCCACAGTGACCTCCCAGCCAGGGCAGAAGTGCTGCCAGTACCAGAGCAGGTCACAGCTTTGCCTGGCCAGGTCTCTGAAAGCTTCCAGCCATGGACTCTTTACAGCCTGTATGGCACAGTCTATGCAGGCAGAGAAGGAACAAAGGGGAAGGTTGCAGAGAACTGACATTCTACCTGATCATCTGAAAGCAGGGGTTAGAAAAGCAGCCCATGCAGTTCAAAAAAATACTAAAATACGCTATGGTACCCCAGAATTATTTTTTTTTTAGAGAAAGCAAGGAAGCAAACACACAAAGGAAGCACTATTTCCTCTGTCCTTCATGCACTATCTCCATGAATCACTTTCTCTTCATTGACTGATAGACAGCAATAGCTTTCCTGGTGGGAATGACTGACCTGCCAGTTTCTCATTAGGTTCCAGATCGCTGTCAACCTGAGCATGGAACGCTATGCCCTGATGTTTGGATTCAACAACTTCATTGCCCTGCTGATTCAGACCATTCTCACAATAGTTGTTGTAGATTCAAAAGGCCTGGGACTGGACATAGTGACTCAAGTAAGTGCAGTTACCTTACTTGCTATTTACTGCTCAGCCAAGTCATCTGCAAAATTCTTATGCCAAAGGACAACTTAATTATCTTTCTTCTCTATAAATTCAGACATATTGTTCTTCTCTTGTCAATATTTATCATCATTCATCATCATTTGTCTTCATTCTTCCCTTTTGCCTTTTAATGCATTTAAGATTTACAGATGCTGGTCTGTGACTTTTTACAGAGAGATACACCAGAACATAATTAACCAGGCCCCGCTATCTGACCAGTTTTAGTAGTTAATAGGACGCTGAACAACATCCTCTCTTCCCAAAAGACTGGTTTTGTCAGATGCAGAATGGGAGTTCAGGACTGTGAGGCACAGTCTGGATTGAGTTATTTCAGCTCAAGTAACTTCTGATCCCAACTCAGAAGCAAACCTGGTCTGTATCTCAACATGTACAATAGAGACTTCTGCCCATAGTTTGGGCACTTCATTTGGGATGGGATTATCCTATCTCACAACAGTGTTCCTAATTTCAGTCAACCCAGTGTCACTCATGTTGAGGTCAACTGATACCTACTGACTTCTGCATTTTCTCAAATGGGCTCTCAGCTCTCTGTTCTAATGGATCTGAAGAAGATTAGAGCTATTCACACTCTGCACAGAGAAGGCAAAAGTGACTTTGAAAGAGTAAAGATTGAATCAAACATAAAATCTTTAAAATAAAGGACAGGAATATGTAGGACTTCATAAATAGCTTTGCCACTATTGTTGGAAATACTGATATAAAATCACAGTGTATTTATTAAAGCCATTGTGGTCACAGTTACTGAAATGTACAAAAGCAAAACAAGGATGAATTCGGGTTCTTCATGCAGATTATTCATGGCCATGTGGGTAATGAAGCTACTTCTGCATTTTACACTAATAGAAAAAAAAACCCCGTTCTTAACCCTCTCCCTATCTGATGTTTATTAAGAGGCATAAGGAATGGAAGAGGCAGTTCATTTCACAATTATCTGCTGTATATTTGAAAAGTTGAGATTTTGCTTAATCACAAAGGAAAAATTCAAGTGTAAAGAAACTGCCAAAATACAAGTAAAGAAAATCAGAATGACTGTCATCTTCAGAAGAAGCAGCATTTCTCTAATGTGTTTTTCATTAATTGTTCTGCCTTTTTCTCCTCCTCTCCCAGTTTTTAATTTATGGAAGCTACTTCGTAGTCATACATGGGATTTTCATGATCAGAAGCATTTGTGTGCTGGTTTCATGCAAATGCCAAAGGAAAATAGCAAGATCTTGCACAGAGCAGCTGAACCAAGCTGAGCACGAGTCAAGAGAGCAGATTGTCACAAGCTACATGACACGGCTGTAGGAGGCAGGCAGGCTGGAGAAGGTCTCCTGGGAGAAGGGCTCCCAGCAGGGAAGAAGAACAGAATGCAGGGAACAGCAGCGCAAGAAGGTTCAACTCAGCCCTGGAAAGCTACACTGAATCATTCCAGCACTTCAGCACAACATATGCCAGCAGAGAGCTCACCAGAATGGCACTGTGCCAAGAATAAAAGATAAGTTGCTTTAGATTCTTATTTACATGTGTATAAATAGCTTAAGGGCAGTAATTTATACCCAGAATCAGAGCCCTTTACATCCCCCCATGCACGATGGCAGAGAGCAGAGTTCACCCTGCAGTGCTCATTGTAGCTCCTGAATGCGGTGCTGGCAAAGCTGCTTCTGTCACATTTGCTGATGCAGGGGCTGGAGGGTCTGACTCCCCTTCACACAGCCCTTGTTCTGAACTGAGGAAGAAAAGATCATGGTTGCATCATTCGATTCTGCCATACCCAGTACAGGCAGATGGGGGAAAGGCTCCTCCTGTCTCATCCCACAGTTCTGTGCACACAGGCTGCAAAAAGCAGGGCTTGCACAACCCCTCCTGGGAGCTCCACTGGAACACTGCTACCTCACAGTTGTTGCTTGGCCCACATTTGGGAACTACAAACACTGTACTGACTTCACAGCAACCTCTGCCAAGAAGGGAACAACTTAAAGAGTCCAAGCAAAATGCAAGAGCACCACTCCTTTGCTTTTGCTTCCAGAAAAATTAAATTCAGGACTGACTTTAAATTCAGGTCTTCCTCTTTCAGCAGGAAAAGAAATAATATCAAGGGGCTTAAGTAGCACAAACTAAAACCAGAGGAGGACATTGGGGAGAAATGTAGCTGATTCCACACAGGAAAATTCCAGATGAACAGGAATATCCAAGAAGATTTATAACTGAAACAAACAGATAGCATCATGTGTGCTTTTGAGTGCCAAGTGAGGGAGGTGCACTTATCATGGCCAAGAATCAGGCAGGATCAACATCTCAGAGTTTGTCAAGAAGCTTCAAGTCTCCTACAGCTAATTTAGTCCAAAAGACAGTCCAGGAGAAGAAAAAAGAGACTAGAAATGAGTTTGCATAGTGAATGTCTAATTTATTATTAACTATATCCATATGCTGATTTTATTCCTGCATTGCTATTTGCTTCTAGCTTCCAATATCTACATCTAACTAATAAAAACCACTAAGCATTTACAGGATATTTTTTCCAGTAGAGACACAAGCCATCATTTGTATAGACATACCAGCTTTTCATACCACTGTCACACACTGCAACTGGACACAGTGCCCAGAGGCAAGGGCAGGCAAAGCAGAAGCAATTTGTTTGAAGTCATAAGAAGAATCAGTAGGGTCTGACAAAATGAACCTGGCTAATATTTTTAGGCTTTTTGTTTACTACTGTGCATTGTGGGGATACTCACTGTTATAAACTGGATCCAAGCAGAACAGTTTAACCAATGCAGTCATAAAAGTAGATGTACTTAGTCTCCAGTGAGAATTCTTTTCTTACTGCAGAACTGAGGGCACAATGCTCCTGCCTGAAGAAACAGGTACAGAATCCAGGAGAGAAAGGACTATTTTTACTATTCTTGCTTGTGAGTAGCCATCTTCTTTTGAGGCATTCAGTTTAGATCTAGGTGTCAGTCCTGGACTACAAGTTAGAGTTTTTGTTTAAATTAAGAAGAGGAACTTGGTGTTTTCAGCTCCATGGTCTCAAACTGCCTTTGATCCAGAAAGTAAACAAATATTTCCATGCAATATCTGACAAATGGAAAGGAATCAACAACATGTGAAACTTTTTGCTACCAACCATAGAAATTCTTATGTTCTGGCTGGAGCTCACTGCTCTCTGTGACTGTAAGATGCCACTGAGGAGCAAAGGAACCAAACAGACACAATGTGTGTGGCTTGCAGCTTTAGAGAACACCATCTTCAGAAAACAGATAAGACTTCAAATAGAAAAGAATCCATTCCTATTCTCTCTAATCTCCAAAATAATGATTCTGAGATTGGAAGCTGGCAGGAAGTATTATGGGAAAAATAGAGGAGAAAGAAGACAGCTCTTAGAAGTGTTAGGAGGCAAAAGACGAGGCCTTATGTGATCCTGGGTTTTCATCTGCAGATCAGAACTCACCCAGCAATCAGAGGTTTCTAAAAGAGTAAGATGTAGACGTGTGCCTGTGTGTTTGTGTACCTGCACACACATGCTTTAGAGAGGAGATGAGACTTGGCAGGTTACAAGGAATACTGGAACCACAGGCTGTCTAGTTCTGCAGGAAAAGGAAATCCTCAGCACATCCACCTCTCCTAGCAGCTTTTAGTGTTGTTTGTCTTTCTTCCAGGATGTTCAAGGTTTCCATGCAAACACAGAACTCCAGAGCTGGACACACTCCTCCCCATAGCTGCAACTGCCTCTAAATACACCTTTGAAACATTAGTGGGTTTGGGCACAAATCTTCTGTGAAGATACAGTCCAGCAAGCTGATAAGGCCAGTTTGAGCAAACAAGGAAGGAACAAATAGTGTATGTGTATTCAAAGCAAGCACAAGCACTGTATGGGATACCAGAGGAAAATGAGCCAGCAGCTCCTTTCAGCCCCTGCCCAGTAGCACCTTCCCTTCCCAAGGCTCTTTCCCTGCCTCAGAAGCCCTTGGCCACAGAAGAGGATGAAGGGCAGAGGCAGGCCCAGCTCCCCTGAGCATTTGCCTGCCTGGTTGCACCACACACTTGAGCACTTGAGGAAACCTTCTGTACCTGCAGGACCAGGCCAGGCTCTGTCGAGCTCACAAAGTTCCCCTTCTGTCAGGGCCTCAGCATCTGCTCCCAGGGTCAATACATGTCCTACCAACAGGCTTCAGGGTGAACTCCAGCCTCTGATGAACCTTGGAAGATGCAGGCAGTACAGTCTAAAAAAAATGGGTAAAGGAAAACAAAGCAGCATTTTTCTAAAGCAAGTCTGTTAATTTTTTAGCTTAGAACCTAGATTTAGCACCTTAATTTCACCCATTTGTCCTTAAATGACAGATCCATCCCTATACAGAAGTAATTCCTTACCAATTAATAGAAGGAAGCATGCATTGTCCTGCCTCCCAAAGCCCCAGCAAAGCCAGGACAGTGAGAGCAAACCCCACAAGCCCAGAGGCCTCTTTGCTGTGCATGAGACAGGGCCACTGTTAGCTCAAACTGTAAAACTGGCGCTCTGTCTTTCCATGAATCAGAGACCAGAGCTTTTAAAGGTATTTATTAACAGAAAGAATGCAATCATTGCTTTCTTGTCACAACAGGTTTTATTAATCATTAGCTACTGTGAATCTTATAGTTTTATCTTAAAAATAGAACTCAGTTTGCTGACAAAAACCACAAAGAACTCTTTCCCTGCAAACTTCATGGACAAGCTCTGCAAGAAAAAACAGCTATGACAAGTTGTTATTATTGAAATTCTGATAACATTTTATCAAGTTTAGAAAGAACTTTTTGGAAAAAGAGTTACAGAAATTTCTGACTACCACCAGCTCTAAAGGGTGGTTCCTGACTTCTCTGCAAGACAAAGTCATCCTAGGAAGAACTGCACCTGAATCCACAGGGAATGCACCGCAGCCAGAGCTTTGACAGGTAATTCATCACCTTTGCAGTTATTTGGGAGTGTGCTGGATACTCACTTGTTCAGTGCATTTGGAGGTGATGCAAGATTTATGCAGATGTTACTGATCAGCCCAGGGCTTAATTTTTATATTTTTATCACTTCTCAAATAAGGTTTCAAGTTAAAGATACTAGAAACTGTATTTTATTTACAATTACTTGTCAGAGAGATTACAGAGGGAATTTTTTTAAATCAAGTTACAAGGTTAGAGCCACTTTTTCTAACATTCCTCTGAGGTCACGGAGATATTGTCTTTATACCATATGATGTATACTAATTTTTAATCAATAACATCTCGTAGTAAAAGTAGAAGCACTTTTTCAATAGTGCCTGCTATAGAGTGGAATTCAATAATTTAAGATACACAGCTTGTAGCAGCATGATTAAACAGCAGCTAGCACTTTGCTTTCATTTGTTTTTGACCAAAAACACTGTTTCTCTTGTTTTCAGGATCAGTGAAATTGACATTTTAACACAAAACAAGTAAAATGAAATTGAAAGACCCAATCTATTTAGACTTCTTTTTGCTACCAACTACACTGAAGAAACAAGCCTCCTTTTCCTTTCGGTCATCGCTTTCAAAAGTGAAGTCAATATTTTTTCTATTCTAAGTCTGAGCAGGCACCATGAACAGATAGTTTCTGCATCTTTCCTTACCCTCTCCAAAGAGTGGAGTGCAAGAAACACAGTGAGTATTAAAGAACTTTGAGGAAACTGAGGTCACAATGGACTGAGCTACCTGATGGCTTTTATTGCCACCAAGAACACTTGTGCAGTCATTGTGTCGCTGGGTACTCAGGCTGCAAATCAACAGAAAAAGAGCACACAGGATGAGCTTTAATCTCACAGCTCACCCACTCATTTATTCAGAAATGAGATTGTAATGGAACTTTATTCTTCTGCTACAGCACAGCCCTAAGCACGTCACTATGAACAACCTTTGACAGACAATAGAGAGTTTACCAGGGATGATGCACCTTGATCCCAGTTGCTCATTTACAAGCTGCAGCTGTGATTCCAGGCAGGTTCAAGAGGGAAACACTGGCTTAGTGAGAGGGACATTGGCTTGGGCACGTGGCACAGCTGGAGCCACACATTTCACTCACTAGACGGAAGCGACAATTCCCTTTATCTATATAACAAAGTTCAGTGGTTTAACAAGACCCAGCAGGAAGGTGTACTTGACTTAATGCAGAGATGACAGGACCAGGTAAAACTGTCAGACCCTCCTGCTAAGTCACTGGGTTTTAAACTCCTCTCAGAGGGAAGTCTGGGTGCAGCTTAAACCCACTCCTAGTCCCAGATTTAGTCAACTGCTTCTGTCTAAAGGATTATGCAATATGTGCAGTAAGTTCTATATATGACTTAGTCAAGGTTTCAAGGCTGAGCACACTTAGTCTCTTACCAAGAATGTGTTGCAGCAAAGAATCTCAGTTTCAGGAGAAACTGTGAGAGGTGTCCCTGCCTCAGAGGAGATCCAGGTGTGCAGTTCATGCAGGAGAGCTTGAGATCACTGGTTTGGTTCCATCTGCACACCAGCCAGACATCTGAGTCACCTCTGGGGACAGCCCTTGGCCATCTGTCCCGCAAAGTCCAGTTACACTGGACGCCACCACCACAGCCCTCACTGGTGGTTATGGCTTCAGGGGAGCAAGTGTAGGTTTAGTTGAAAAGTAAACTTGAAAATGATTTTTTACCGACTGTGAAGAGCATCTATTCTTCCTTTGCCACCTTTTTATTTTGTTTAGGTAGACTATGGATTGCTGGAAGGGAGCTGCAAGCCATAGCTGGATTTATCCCACAGTGATCATCTGTGCAAATGGATTTTTCACCACAATGAGGCCATCAGAATCTTTTCTCACTCCCTATCTAACGGGACCAGACAAAAACCTAACGATTGAAGAGGTATGTAACTATTCTCTTAAGCAGAAACTAAAATGCTTAAAGCATTAGGCCTGCAGTAACTGAAGGGAAGATGAAGTGTGAACATTTTATCTGAAGACCCATATTTAAGATGCCTCTGGAAAAGAGTAAGGAGTCACCTCTTTGGCAGAAGGTCTGAACTTTAAAGTCCCTACATTCTTAGGACGTTGAAGCCCCTTTGGTGGTTGATATTTTTAGCAAAATCAGGTCAGCTAGTTCCTCTCTCCATCCCAGAGGAGACATTTATTTTTTACTTACCATGGAATTGATTACACGGACAGCATTGATTTCAAAACATAAGAAAGCTAAGCAGCCTTCCCCTTATGACCTGTAAAGCTTATTTCCTACATTCCCTATATTTCATGCATTCATTAACCTGTGGAGGTTAGTTCACATTCAAAAAAATTGGAGGGTTTTGACAAAAGCATGCACTCCAAGTTTCCTTGCTGTGCTCCTGTGTTCAGCACTGGCTGCTTCAGGAGTACACCTCCCAACAAAAGGGGACATGGTTAACACGTGGCTGAGTCATGGAGCTAACGGTAAAATTAGAAAACCCAGGCTTGTTACACCCACATACAGCTAATATGGAGAACAGTCATTCCTGATGTGCAGTAGCAAATGTTAAGGCAGAACCTACCAGCACACTGTGAAACCAAGGTTTCTGCTGAAAAAAAGGCATTTGTGGTTTAGACTGTCATGAAGATTTTTTTCTCTTCCCTTTTTATTATTATTTTTTTTTAACCACACAGGAAAGCATTATTTCTTATATAAGTCACACAGCATCATAGAATGCCTTAATTCTGATTTCAGCAAGAATCCTTAACTCAAAAACAAGCCTAGTACAGATACTGTCTCTTTCAGCCAAACTCACCTCCAGTGAGTTAATTCCATGAGGTAATTCTAAGTTCAGAGAAACAAAAGAAGTCACACAGAAAGAAAGATACAGTGAACCTGCTGCTCACTATGCAACTCACTCCAGTACTTGTTCAGAAGTAAAAAGCATTCCTCCAGCATTTGACACAGTTCCTCTCTAGTCTAATTGCTTAAGCAGAGAACAAGAGATCAGGAATGGATACCTCAGCAGGCCCCACAATTACTGGGCAAGGCCTCCCCAAAACAGGCAACTTAGAGTCACAAAGGTCACTAAAAGGGGGATACCTGCCCCAGGTGTGGCCAAATTGCCCAGGCAAGCACTGAGCTTTAAGTGGCAACCACAAACAGCACCTTCCAACCCAAATTCAGAACAGTTTAAGAAAAAAAGAGAAATAATTTCTTCACAGGGCATCTATGTTTTGAAGTCCAACTTACTGAAAGACTTTCTTACTTCTTACACTTTAAATCAGAAAAAAACAACAAAAAAAAAAAGGTGCAGTACCCTAGTTGCAGCTACACACTATGTACAGTTCCAGTTCCCCACTGTAAGAGGCACATGCTTTTTTTTTTCTATACCTAACAAGGAAAAGAGGGGACCAAAGGTGTACAATGACTCACATAAGAAGTTGAAACAGGCCTTCCTTTTCAGCTTCTAGGGAATAGGATTTGAAACTAGAGAGACTTGCCTCTGACACATAGTTACAATTGCTTTAAACAGCTGCACATCAAAACCTGCCTTTTTCATAGGCCTTTATTGGAATGAATTTTAATACAATCTATCTGTTTATTTAGTGGAGCATAGCATCACTGTCTTTGGTCCTTACACAGTGACATTACAGTCATGCAACTTAAAGCAGTTTAAGCCTGCACTATTCACACAATTCAATGTTTCCTATCATCACAATTACATTATTTCAGCAGTAACACCATCAAAAACCATCGAGGAGGTAATTTAAACGTTTGGGGGGTTGGGGCTGTTTTGTTTGTTTCTTTCAATATTTCCTCTTTTATTCTGTTCTAGGTTACCAACGAGATTCTGCCAGTTTGGACATACTCCTACCTCGCTCTCCTTTTCCCCGTGTTCCTGCTCACAGACTACGTGCGCTACAAGCCCGTGCTCCTCCTGCAGGGCATCAGCCTCATCCTCACGTGGCTCCTGCTGCTCTTTGCACATGGAGTGGTGGCCATGCAGCTGGTGGAATTCTTCTATGGCATGGTCACAGCCACCGAGGTGGCCTATTACGCCTACATCTACAGCGTGGTCAGCAGCCAGCACTACCAGAGGGTCACCAGCTACTGCAGGAGCGTCACTCTGGTGGCAGCCACCGTGGCCGCCGTGCTGGGACAGCTGCTGGTGTCCTTGGCGCACGTCTCCTACTTCTACCTCAACGCCATCACCTTGGCTTCCGTGTCCCTGGCGCTCGTGTGCTCCTTCTTCCTGCCCATGCCCCAGAGGAGCATGTTCTTCCACAGGAAAGATGCCCCTGAGCCTCTGCCAGGGCCCGATAAAGGGCCGGCTGCGGGCGCTGCCCACGGGCCCTGGAGCTGCCGAGAGGAAAGGAGCCCCAGTGCTGCTGCCAGGGGCCCGAGCCCCCAGCCCCAGGCTGGGAACAGCAGGCCCCACAGGCACACGCTCAGCGTGCTGCTGCAGCTGGGCAGGGACCTGAGGGATTGCTACGGCTCCCGCCCGCTCCTCTACTGGTCCTTGTGGTGGGCTCTGGCCACGGCCGGCTTTAACCAGGTCGTGAATTATGTCCAGGTGCTGTGGGACTTCCGAGCCCCCTCCCACAGCTCCCCAGTCTACAACGGAGCTGTCGAAGCAATAGCAACTTTTTTGGGTAAGTAATCATTAGCAGGTACTTGTGTGCTGTATCCTGTGCTGAGGGATTCTTCAGCAATGTGTTTGGTGCCTTTCTATCTCCTATGAGGACTAAAGTAAACAGAGATAAACAGTGCACAAAGCATGATTTTACTATAAACTTTTACAGTGGGCTCTTCAAAAACAGTCTTACAAAACATATATAAATAAGCTTTTCCTTCTTAGAGGAGACTCATTCTGCCCAAATGTTTTAAGACTTTTAAGTTCACAGCTCTGTTTAGACCACGTTGTTTAACCCCAAGTAAGCAAAGCAAAACCCTGTGCAATGATATCTTGCATATTCCTCCCTCAAATACACCTTAAGCTGGCTGATTTAAGAATTAAAATATTAGTAGATACACTGCTCTAAATACTACTCAGAGCATACTGTGAAATAGTCTATTCAGACACTAGATTATAAATCATTCCAGTCTAAGTGCTCCTTAACAAATATTCCATTATTACATTTCTATCTTGACTGGCAAGTTTGCCACACACAAAGGTATGTTCAACCCCCATATGGGCCATTTACTTCAGAGTTAAACTTGATGATCCATGCAGGTCCCTTCCATGTTAAAATATTTTGTGAAACCATTTCTGTGATGTGACAAGGCTGTGAGAACTGTTATTGTTTACCCTTGAAAAATAAATCTTACTAATGTGCAGAGACTTGAAGGGGAGGAGCAAAGAGAATGGAACCAGGCTCTTCCCAGTGGTGCCCAGTGACATTACAAGAGTCAAGGGGCACAAAATCAAACAAAGTTCCACTTAAACACAGAAGAACATTTTTATTCCAAGGGTGATTTAAAACAGGAACAGGTTAGCCAGAGGTGTGGACTCTCCATCCTAGAGTCAAAAGCTAGACACCATCCTGAGCAGCTTCCTTTAGTTGACTGAGCTTTTAGCAAGGCCATGTGATCTCCATCTCTCTTCCAACCTCAGCCATTCTGCCTCTCATTAGTTACCTGGTCCACCCAAATTCCATTTCTCTTTAGCCACAGAAGAAAAGGATATGGGCAAAGTGAAACTTTATTTACCTAGCTGTGCAGCACCAATACAGCCTCTGTTTTGAGCTCCCATTTACACAGCTGTCTCCCCCTACATTCCAGGAGCTGTATCCCACATTTCTACAGGGAATTGTCAGTTTACTTTTCCTCCCTGCAATCAGCATGAAAATCCATTTTACTGAAGCTACTCCAGAACTTCACTGTTTTGAGCAGTGTTCCCAAAGGCTTTCCTGCACTTACACCCCCTGGCACTTGACACAATTTCAGAGTACAGAAGGCACTCGCAGCACTGGGAACCACTGCTCATGGCAGGGACGGACCAAAGGGATTAGTTTGCTCCAATTTCTGGAATTCTGATGAAGAGCACATACAACCAGCAAACAAAGGTTTTGCTACATGTGATGGCCAAAGGCATTGGTGAATGCAATTCATAAGGCTTTTCACCAGAAACTGAAAATAACACTTCCATTAAAAAAAGCAAGCATGAGGTGCTAGATTTTCTTTCCATAAGGAACTTCACATGAAATAACCGAAGTCATTATACATATTTTGGCAGAAAATGCTTTGTAGGATTGTTCTCTTTCCTCATAGTCATCTAAAAATGGAGCAAAACCACCGCTGCCTCCAGCCTTAGGCATGAGGTACTTTCCCAAATCAGTCAGCGAGGGGTCTAAGCAAGGAGGACAACATCCAAACTAATGGAAGACTCCCACGTCCCTAACAGGAAATATAATCTGCACCATTACCAAAGTCCACTGTGACCAAGACTGAAGAGCTCCTGGCATGATCCAATGACAGTTATGCAATGGCTCTCAATTATAATGTTTTGAAGTTTTAATTACTACTTTTCAATTTTTAGGTTCGGCAACATCCATGGCAGTTGGATACGTCAAAGTAAACTGGGATCTCTCTGGAGAACTGGCTTTGGGAATTTTCTCTGCACTGGATGCTGGTTCTCTGCTTCTTATGCACTTCACTGACAACATCTGGGCATGTTATGCTGGTTACCTTGCATTTAAAGCTTGCTATATGCTCCTTATAACAATAGCAACGTAAGTACAACACACAACTGTTCTAACTAAACTGATTTAAATCTGTCAAATGTTTATATTTAACAAAATTTTACTGGAATTTCCCTAGATATAAATTTAAATAGGTTATGATAGCAGCATATATTGTTTCTAGCCTGCATAAAACTGGGTAAAATTATATGACCTAACCATTACCATAGTACACTCCAAGTCAGAACTAGATGGCTTCAGCACTTGGCTGTTCAATGGTCACTATATGAGTATTCTCAAAGTGATCCAATGAATATACACAGGTATTTAGCAAAAATATTAAGTCAAGGGTAAACAAGAATCACAAAAGTCACAGAGCCAGAAACACCCAAGAAACTTCTGTCAAAATGAAGCTGATAGAGTTTAATAGCCAAGACTGAACTGACCATGTCCTTTGAAGAATGCAGTGTGCACATTAAACTGTTCCCGTAAGTAAAGTGCATCCACCCATCCTTGCTCTCCAGAGTTTTGTGAACCTTTGCCGTCATTGTCAGGTTTCAAATTGCTGTCAACCTCAGCATGGAGCGTTATGCTTTGATGTTTGGCTTCAACAACTTTGTTGCACTGGTGATTCAGACGATTTTAACTGTTGTTGTAGTAGATTCAAGAGGTCTGGGACTGGATATCAGCACTCAGGTAAGCCACTGAGTCCCTCTGCTTCGTTCCCCTACTCTCCTTCGAAGGAGATTACCCCAAGATTAGCCTGTGGTAATGTGCAAACTCAGGTGCAAGCTCAGGACAGTTACTCACCTGGAAAAAGGTTAATTTAAAATGAACTGGCTTGAACTGCTCCAACTTGCTTGTCCTCTAGGCCTCCCAATACTGGAAAATATTCTGTGTTCACAGAACAGAGGGGAAAGGTGACCACCTGTTGCTCTGGGTATTCTTTAAATTAAAGGCTTACTATTCATAAGTTTAGTCAAACGACCCTAACCAGAAGCAGGAAGCCAGCTGAAAAGACAATCCATGGGTCTATTACTAGTGTAATTCTAAGTTACAGTGGACTCACCTTCAAAGTTACTGTAATTCTGAAAATTAACTCATTGCAATTCCCCATTAAATTTCTAAAATTAGTTTAAACTTAGACCCTGAATGAGTCCAAGTCCCTAATTTTTTATGTTTTTAGAAAAGAGACAAAGTTCAGGACAGCTGTCCTCCCTTACTGAGGTTGGGAAGGACATTCTCTCCCCCTTTTACAGCCACAGAATTTCTAGTGTCAAGTCAAGCAGTCCAGACTTCTTGAATTCTTTCAAGATGGGGTCATTCTGGGCACAGGTGACAGGGAAGGGAAAGCAGCAATGGAGGGACACCCCTTAGAGTCAAAAACTGGTTTTGCTGTTAGTTATTAACTTTTCTCCTTCCCCACCTCCATTTCCCAGTTTCTCATTTATGGCAGCTACTTCACAGTCATAGCTGGAATTTTCCTGATCAGAAGTATGTACACCATAATTTCAATCAAATGCAGAAATACAAGTGTGGCTGCTGAAAGCACTGCCCCTTAACAACTGAGACAAAAGCAACAATGTTATAAGAAACAATGCACAAGGCTCCATCATCTGGATGACAAATCAGGAGAAAGGAAATTTTCAATCAAGCAAAACTGGTCCAGGTTGAAGCAGGCTGTTTATGAGCCTACTGCACAGAGAGCTTTGTCAACAGGATGATGCACTTGGTCTATCTTCTTCACCAGCAGTTTAATACAAACATTCCTCAGTCTTCTAATTCAAGTTTAGTCATATGACACAAAAACTTCTATTAAGGCTTAATGAGCACAAGGACATCCAGATGCCTGAACCTCGTATCAGTGGAACTCACAGAACAACCTTGGGACTTTCCCTTACTATTGAGTACTTCAATTTAAGGCAATTTAGTTACTGACAAAAGACCATCAGACGTGCCCAGGGAATCTAAAATAGTTGTACCAGACAATGACCTGTCGGAAAATTTGTCACAGAGGCCTTTGGAAAACAACACATTTTCAACTGGACATCACATCTGCTTTGCAGAACTCAGGATGATCCTGCAAGTGTAGCATCTTCTTACACTTTTAACAGCTGATTTTTTAGGACTGAAGTCTAATCTAGGAGGTGGCCATATTAATTCCTGTATAAGGGGCCTAAAGTTATCAAGTGAGGTGCTTTGATGCTAAAGGATAAAAATACAGCTTTTAGGTAACTAGGCTATTTGCATGAACAATTGTGGGAACAACTGCAGAGATTTCCATGATTAAAACATTTAAAATCAGGGTTGAAGAACTAATTTTGTAAATAAAGCTATTTTTAAAACCTAATCAACAAAACACTTATAGTGTCAGTTTATGCTCAATAACATAGAGAAGACTCAAACAGAAGACTCAAAACAATACAAGATCTTCAGCTTATCTGGAATTTGACAAACCTAAAATCAGTGAACACAGACGAAAAAGGTGTGCTTAGCTAAAAGTTGCAAACATTTTATCTGCAGTTAACTCAGTTATGAAAAATAACGTATTCCACTACTTCTACAGCATATTCTAAACTACATGTCTTGCATACTTCAATCAGTTTCAGTATCTCAGCAGTAATACTTGGATTAGAACAATCTCTATAGATGCTGATCTCATTAGCCCTTGCCCAAAGCCTAATTTACACCACTGTAAGTGAAGAGGGCAGAAATTGTTGCTCTTTTCTAACATTTTTCATCTCACTGACAAGACATCTCTTTGATTTGGTCCAGTTCTCTGCACAAAGCATTTTCAGGTATTCCACAAGCCCTGTTGAACCCCTACTCTCTACTGCATTTACCTCTTACTATCCAAAACAGCCAAGGCTGGTGAACAAGGAAGAGTTACAACTATTTACACTGCACTAAAATACAGTGGTGAGAGTAAGGGTGTCGCTAATACCCTGCAAACCTCCAGTTGCTGGGGATTTGTTCAGTGAACTCCCCAGATAATGTTGGGAACTGAACACTACACTCTGTCCAGCAGTCTCCATCAGAAACAAAAGAGAGACTTGAAGCCTGTTTTTAAAATGCCAACAGGACAAAACCAGACATTTAAATACGGAAAACTTACAGGCAGCATGTTTTATAAGCTGCTTGTCTCCTGCTTGGTATCTCCAAAGTTTAAAAAACAAAAATAAACAAACAGGAATTACAACCCCCCTAAGCGGGCAACAGAAGTCGAAAGCATAAAAAATTAAAATTAGCATAAATATTTTTACAAGCAGACGTCAAACCTTTCAGATGCCCTAGAAAAACATATCTGACATTCAGGCAATTACAAGTAAAATCTCTTACCTTGAAGAATTTTCATGTTTATCTCAAATGGATTTGCATGAGCTTTTTTAAAAAAGTCAATCTCACCTTATTTATTCTTGTTATCCTGTAAGCTGTTGGAATTCATTCTCCAGCTGGTATAGAAACCTTTAAGCTTGCAGTTTATGTATTCACAATATAGTTACATTATTTGCTTAGTTCCAGTACTGAACTTTAGCCAAATTATCTCTGTGTAAAACACCAACTACTTTGATGCAGTTATATTTTTCTTGAACCTTATCAGTACTACAGAGGAAGACAAGCCAGACACTTTTCCCTCTACAAATGTCACTCTAGTATGGCAGGAAATATTTCTGTGAATTGAAAAAAAAAACCAAAAAAAAAACCAACAAAAAAAACCCCACCAAATGTAATATTCCACAGGAGTTGTTACTGATATGTACCAGTTTTTAATAAAGAGAGGGCTCTTACATCTGTGGTCCCTTGGTCTGCTGTTACACACTCTGTTCAGACCACAACTAAGGCTTGTTCAGAGCCTGTCACTGCTGCAAATCTCTCCAATAAATACCCTTCACAGTGCTTTCAGCATGACAGATACTCTATTCAAACAATCCAAACTTCACCTAACACTGCTGTGTGACAGGTCACTTCACTTGAACTAGAACAGGAAGATTCATCACAAGGACACAAAGAAACACATCCAAGTGAGGCATGTGAAAATTTTAAGCTTAACTCAACTTTAAACACATTGCTTTGTACACCTCATCTGTGTACAAGACACAGTGTGTACATTTTCATCCAGTAAATGTTACTGCACAGAAATAATGCTACACAGTTTTTTTTCTAATATTTATTTTTTCACCTGCAAACTGTAGCAAAACATGATCAGCTTTATTATGCAGACAGGTATCCCTCTAACATTAGAGATTTAGGCATGTATAAATAGAAGAGCTCTTAGGAAAGGAAAACATTTTGAGAAATGAACAAACCTTCAATTTAACTTCATGACTTCCAATACCAATAGTTAAAGTGATGCAACTCATTCATTCCAAGAGATACAACAGCACCTTAAAGTGGCTGATCTATTCCCCAGTAACATTTTTTCACATAACAGTGTGTTAAAGTTACAAATACTGATATGCACAAATAGCTATTTTCTAAGAAAAGTATGTACAGTACTGCAGCATAATGAGTGTGGTATCTGCAATAACTTATTAGCCAATTTTAATACACATGATACCGCTACTTTTTACCTGCCACTTCACAGGTTCAAGGATGTTACCACAGCCCTCTGTTTTGCACGTTATTACCTGGTGGGGGGTTTGGTTTTGTTGTTTTTTGTGTCAGGTGGTTTTTTTTTTCTTTTTGAAGTTTTTTAAAGGTACACAATGCAGGCTTTTATTTTTACTTCTTAAAGACTTCTTTTGTGTTTAAAGCTAGTATCAGTGAAACAAGACAACAGTGCAAGAGGCGCAGAGATGTTATGTGACCACATAAGAGTTCTTTTGGGTAAAGTGTCTATAAGGCTATAAGAAAGGATTGGTTGATGAGCTTCCTGTTGGAAATTGTCCTGTTGGTGCACCAGCCTGGGGGAAAAGGAACACAGAAAAGTAAGACAAGTAGTTAAGATATATTTCCCATATTGTAAATCATAAATGCAGAATATATTTTAAAAAAAATAACTTGCTGGGGAATACTTCTCTTTTTTACTGCAATCTGCTTTTTGCTGCTTCTCTGGAATTACACTACTGTGGGAACATGTATGAAAGTACCTCTGCTTTGATCTGAATGTCCTTACAAATGGCATATCATCAGAGCAGTGAGCAGCAGTTAGGAGAGTCACATGCTGCCTTCCCTTATTAAAAGCAAGAAAACCCCTGAATCTTTGTGTATCTCTAAATTAAGTGTTACAGACTATTCTTCTTTGGACACACAGAAATCATGGACATGAAACAACTCACCATAAAAGGGTTACTAGATACTCCAACAGCTGCAACTTGTCCAAAAGGAGTTACTACAGGCTTTGCTTGCCCAAATGTAGCAAAACCTGCTCCTTGGAAAGAAAAGTAAAAAAAATTAATACTACTAAATAATGTTCAAAAAGTTCTTTGCTGCAGCTCCCAGCCAAAATTAAGTTTGAACTGCAGAATCAGCAGGACTGATCCTACTTATCCTTATGATCAGGAGTGTAAGTGTAAAACACTGTGGCTGAGCTTTTTGTTTGTTTTCAACTGTCCATAACTCAACAATCTCCAATTTCTACATACACAGTTTTTTCAGTGTTATGATATCATATAAATTCAGGGAGAAAATACTTTCCAATTTTCTCTTACCCGTGTTCTATGAAGTTAGAGAAAGTGTAATAAGGTGTTGCAGACATTCTAATACAGCCCTTCTTGCCTAAAACCCCTTTAAGCCTGGGAATACTTACCATTTTAGTATGAGATTTTGGTAAAATTTCAGTTTGGTTGTGGCACAACTGCACACAGCCGAGTCAGAAGACTCAACTACAGAGCCGAAACAGTGTGGAAACCCACCAACATTACTATCAAGTTCATGTAGAAATAAATATCCACCCATTATTGCCAACTTATAGACAGACCATTTTCTCCATGTTTCCAGTTTAGACAAGGTTATCTAAAACATGCAGACCTACCATTTGGCTGCTGAGCAAAAGCAGTCTGTTGAGGGAAAGCTGCCTGGGTTGGGAACGTGGGCTGCTGGAAGTTGCCACTATAACTAGTAGGAAGACTGTAGGAGGCAGGAGTTCCAAATCCTGCTGGCATGCTCATGGATGCAGTACCAAATGTTGCTGCTAGTAGGCAAAAAATAACATGCAATTATTCGTAAGAAATCACTTTTTTCATGAAAAAAATTACTATAAGGCCATGTTAAAAGTCTTCTAATGTCCTCTGACTGAACAAAAGTTTGGTTCAACTTCTATAGCCACTGAACTGATTTGTCCCCTTCAATCACCACCAACAGGGTGCATAACTTGCTTTTACACTTTAAAAATGAATGGCATTATTTAAAGTTGAGTAGATCCAGCACATTCAGATACACTTTCTGAAGAGGAAATTAATTTTTTTCTCAGTGTTATCATATATTTCCCCCTTCTACTCTGGTAGAAGTCTGTACACATAAGAAGCAAGCAGGTTCAGGCAGCCTAAGCCCCTCTGTTTTTCTCCTTCTGAGAAAAGCATTAAAGGGTTTTCCTACTTCAAGCTGCACAGGAGGTTATTAATTAAAAAAAAAATAAAAATCAAAGGGATACATGCATCCCCTTTTTTTATCCCATCTTTAATGTCTTTAAGGAAATTCTCACCATGCACATTATTTGCACACAAAGTTCCTATTGCAAACCCTCTTACTGTTAAGGTAGAACTTAAAACAAAAAGAGCCCAAAACTTTTCATCTGATTCTCTGCTGAACATTTCAAATAAAGAACACACAGCTCAAAAGCATTTCCCCATGCCTTCAGCAAATAAACAGGAGCACATTAGGTGCAAAAGTATAGCAACAAAACCATTATTCAGTCTTTTGGGAGTTATTCTTGAAACGAGAAGTGTATAGGAAGATTTTTGGTACGAATACAGACACAAGGTATTCTATGCTAGCTAAACATGACTTCTCTTTTGAAGTGTTGCAAGCTACATTTTATGCAAGCTCAACTGTTTAAAAAACCTGATAAAATAAATTTAATGAATATAGCTTAATTATCAGGTGAAATATTTACCCTAAAAGAATTCAAGGGCAAGACATCATACAGACAAACTGTTGACAAGTGCACGCAAAACTAATGTACTAACACTCTTCTCAAGTAACAGTGAGCAGAGCAGCTAACTCGACAGCAAACTTGGCTAAAACAGCAAACAGAAGCACAACAAAATCAGAAGGGGACTTGGAATATCCCAAAAGGCATCAAACTACTGTTGGCAGAAACTTCAACAGTCACTCATTAGCACTGTATGGCGACCATGGAGGGTATCAATAATGGTTTTGTTTTGGTTGCTCAACAGGATGTCTTATGTATGCTCTTCTCTCCCTCTGCCCAGGTGCCAAATACCCACACCCATTCCATTTTTAAGAAGTCTTCCACAATTCTTCGTGCAGAGAACCAGATAGCTGTCAATAAGCTTTTACAAGCAAGAACAATTAGCCACAAGAAACTTGATACCAAATGTGGCCACCTACCAAAATGAGCCTGAGGAAATATGTGAGAGTGCATTGCTCCCGAGAGGCCTTATGGAAGCCACAAAGAGACCAGACAATGTCAAATCATTTATACACTCTTGAACAGTCATTTCTTATATATAGAGAGAGAAATAGATACACATATGTACCAAACAGTTCATCAATAGCGTGACTAGCAATAGATTAATATTAGACAACTATCAGAAATAAGCTTTACAAAACAGATCTCCTATGTACTAAATAGCAAAGTCCATGCAGGAAGAACATATAAAAGGATAAGCCATAACTTTACACTTTACACTGAAAGGGGCTGAACATTTTCTTTACTTATAGACATTATCTCTGTCACCTAGTGTGGAACATCAGGATGGCTGCCAAAGGCTTGGAACCTCAGCAAGCCAGGGACAGCCGTATAAAAGGTGGAAGGATACAGGTGCCATATTCAAAGAAATTTATCTAAAGAGGCTACAAATTCTTAATGATGATCCAAAATAAGCCACCTAGGAATTTTGGGAATCAAATATCTGAACAAGTTTAGCTGCATAATATCTCAAAAGGCACTGAAAAGAGAATTAATTTCAGCAGAAGATACAAATTTATCAAATCAGTTTTTAACTAAGTCCACCTAAATCACTGAGCAAACCACAACTCAATGTCAAAATGATTTTAATCTGCTGAAGTCCAGCTAACAGATAAAGGTCTCAAAATTTAGCAGTTGCTCTGGAGAGGAAAATCAGCATAACGTGGCAGCCATCTAAATCCAAGTTCATAGTTTTAAAGAAGTAGAAGTTTTCTTTCTTAAAAAGTGATTAAGTTTTGCCCATGGAATTATGATTCTACAGAATCCTCCCACAAAACGAGTGTAAAGATTAAAGATATGCTTTAAAAAAGAGACACTAATGTACTTAATAAATGGACTGGTGAGGAGCTAACATCCCAAGAGCCTTGTTTTTACTGGTTCTGACTCCACCTCTTTATTTTTTAAGAGCTTTCAACACTTCAAAATAAAGAAATAAATTAAAAAGAAGGGCTTTCAAGATCACTGATGTCAGGGCTACCTGCTATAAACATGCTCTAAAGTCAAGGTTATAATATTGGAAGCTGGTGATACATAGATTACAAACAGGTAGAGCTCAAACAAATCATTTCAACATTTTTCATGGCCACCATTTGAAATCCTACAATTTCACTTCAACACTGAGCAAACACACAACACATCAAATAGACTAGGGACAGATAATACAGAAAATCTTTAAGAAATTATACAGATACAGGGAAAAAGAATCAATGCAATTCTTTAAAGGAAGTTTCTCAAACACTCAATGTATTTTTTCCTAACCTGTTGCTCCTCGGCTATTGGTCTGGAATGGATTTGTTGAAGGTGCCACAGGGGCAACAGGGGCAGCTACAAATGGATTTGTGGAAGGTGTTGCTGAAAGATTAAAGACATTTTATTAAGTAAGTGTTTCTCTAACAGCCAGTCTGACTCACATGAAGTTTATACAGCTTTTATACAAAAACACATAAATACCCAAATTTAGATGAAAAATCAGGAATTTGTAAGAAGATACATTAAAAAACACAGTTACTTTGACAGGAGTGCTTTTTTGTTAATAGTACCTTTATTAGCTTCAGTACTAGTGGTATCAAAGTAGAGCATTATCAAGTAAAAATTAGTAGATTGCTTGCTTACAGTCCCCAAAGGTTGTTAGTAACACTTCAATACCTCCAAATGGAGCAGGCACACTTGAAGATGCAGGCTGTGTCTGTGCAGTAGCAGCCACAGGTACTGTTCCAAAAGCATTGCTGGAAATAATTTATACAATTCATTCAGTGAAATCAGAATTGCTTGTTTAATAATTAAATACAATTTACAGTTACTGCTGGCATGTAAAAGAAAGGGGATGAACACTTATGTGCAGACTGCAATGTACCTCCCTGATGCCAGGGTCAGACACTCTCACTAGTGCTGAGAAATGGAAAGTCATTTCCACCACAGCAGCAGAACAATGTTGGGCCAACAACATAAAAATTGCAAAGTAGAAG